TTATGTTCAATTTATTATTCAATATGCAGTTGCGTATAACCACAGTTTACATAATAAATGTAAACTTTAGTATAAATGTAAACTTTGGTGTAACCTAGGTAGGTACTTATTGTTTTTGAGAAAGTAATATGTTTTTTACCAGTTTAAAATGCCAGCAGGAGTAAAACAGCATTCATCCGTCCAGAGCATTTTGTTAATAAAGTTAGGTTCTGCTGCACTTCGATTTAGGAACCAATGTAAAATTCAAGACGATTGGGGAAATCAGCCGGTTCTAAAGCTTGAACTTTTTGAAAATGGTACGGGTTGAGTGAATTCTCGTGCAATATCCGCCAAACTTTGGTTTGTAATATCTCCAATCGCCCTGAAATTATTCTTGTGGAAATAGTACGCTGCTCCTCGACTAAATTTAAAACACATTTAAGTCATTTTGTCGATGTCCTGCACGTTCTCTGTGCAGTATGATAGACCCCGTGTCACAAAGATGTTGGACGGCTTGCACAATTGTCTTGGGGGGCTTCCAGGGCTTGGAAAGTTCTGTCTGTCAGGAAAACGTCTACGATATTCAATTGCAGCGGCATTTGCGTTCTGTACACTCTCCATATAAAATCACCATATCCACATTTTCGGCATACGTATACAAAGCCTTCATGACTGACACTTCAAACAATCCAAAATAAACTAACAGTTTTGTGTGTATTTCCAATGCACATCTCCTTTCCATCTGTACGGTGTGATCTTCACTCCAAATTTGTGGGAAAAATGCGGGAGATATGGAGGGTGGTAGATTTAAATAAACGCTTTAAATTGTTAATGGTTTTGTAACCCTGTGTAGTGTATTTTGTATATTCGGGTATTTAGTGCGCCGACTTTTTTATTTGATAAAATACGATGTGCCTACAAACAGGTAGGTAAACCTATGCTTTATTTATTTTCTTTTAACAAAAGTTGACTTCGAGAAGTCAGGCTTGTTAAAACATTTTGCACTAAGTTAATACAATTGTTAAAATTCTTTATAATAAAAAGCAGCATGCTCCTTTATTTACTTGCATTTTATTGGTTTTGTATATATGTATATGTGTACTAAAGCGTTTAATACGTTTAACGGGGAACCCAAAGTAAATGTGATTATGATGTGAACTTGGCAACGCTATTCGCTTCAGCTGACCAGCTGACTGGTTCATGACATTACATTACAAAATTTTCCGAGTATCCGGACATCTGGCCGGACCGACCTCTTAGCGGGAGTTATGGGTTGATTTCCTTCATTTTTAAGTCGAGTAAAAAATTTTTTTTCTGATTTTCTGTCTTTATTAGGCCTCCCGAATGCGTGGTTAAAATTAATGACATTATGACTGAATCACCCTGTATAATAGTGAAATGATAATTAAGTGTGATTCCAAGATATTTCGTAATATTAATATCAAGAAAGATTCATCTTCTATTCCACCTGTTATGATTTTCAATATAAATCAAACTTAGGACCACAAATTATTTTCAACATTATTAAATTTATTTATATAATTATAATATATTGCACGAAAATCTGCTGCTACATGACGAAATTTTAATTTGTTGGGTTGGTATTTTAAGTAATAAATAAAAACACTGACTGATGTATCTGGGACTGCTGGATATTAGTAATACAGAATAACAGTTTATGGAAATTAGTTTCGGCTACTCAGGTTATTATTTTATTACTTGTTATTTTTATGATTTTAGATGAAGAGGTTAATGTGGTTAGATCATAATTTGCATATACTACTATTGTGAACTCTTTTTTAGTTAAAATTCATAGATCACTCCTATACAGCGTGTAACTTTAAGTGGGGATCAGTTTTTTAGGGGTAATAGTACGTGTTCCCCTGAATACGAATCTGACGGTCTTTTTTTTTAATCATATAAATACTTATAATTAGTTTTTTAAATTGCACTTTAATTCTTGTGTATGCCGTCACTATTAATATTCGTGTATTACAAATACATGAATTGTAGGCAACCAAGGGAGATAGTGAGTGTCAACAGTGACGAAGCAAAGGGAGACAGTTGTTGTTCCGCATTTGGAGACAGTACATATAACTTTGAATTTGAAAGGTTTTGCATCGTTGGAAGTCATCAACAGGTTACGGTGGTGCAGGTCTGTTGTCTAGTTAACAACTATTATTCAGAGGGAAGCGATGATGGAGGTGATATATTAAGTGTCTGCAAGAACTGAGACCTGCAAGGTATAGTTAGCCATTTTATTTCTTGTCAAAAGAAGCCCCAACTCAAAGTTACACTCTGTATATCCACAAATCTTTACCCAAGCTTTTTAAAAATGGTCATTTAGTATTTGTCTAGATGCCACAACACCTTTACAGTACAGTACAGCTGTATATTAACTGATCCAAATAGCTTGTTATAGTTCATATATTATAAAAAATTACTTACGTTTCTCCCCGCTGTGACTCAACATGTGTCGCGCCACATCCTCTTTTCTGAAAAAAGTCTTGTCACATTTGGGACAAGGCAGAGGCTCCTCTCCTTCGTGCATAAACTTTATGTGGGTGGTTAACCTGAGCCTCCTGTTGAAAGCACGGTTACAATGCGGACATGTGTAGGCGTTCTCCCCCGTGTGATGGAAGATATGGGCTCTCAACTGAGATGCCTGTATGAAGGATTTCCCACAGAATTGGCATTGGTGAGGTTTTTCACCTGTATGAATTCGTAGATGCCGGTTCAACGTCTCCTTGGCAGCAAATCGTTTGTCACACTGAAATACACAATTTATGTTGAGAGTTAAAGAAAATCTCTTTTCAATTGGTTAACCACCAATTTTTAATAGTCGCATAAGTAGCATTTTAAAATACTGTCTTTATACTGCTTGATTAAATTTTAAACACTTTGCATGAATATAAATAAAAAGTTGAAAGTTGGTACCTATATGCAAAATAGGTTTTCATATTTATGTCAAATTTTGGAACTATGATATAGGCCAGGAGTCGGCAAACTTTTTTGACTGCGGGTTAAAATCAACCACAGTGTGAATATTAAAGGGACGTTTGGGTCAGTGATATTTTCATTTTAAAACAGTCTTTTAGTGAATAATAAGATACATTTTATTAAGAAAATAATTACGATACCCTTTTAAACTTTAATTATTATTATAAAAACTAATAAAATTCTAATTATTAAAAAAACAAACATAGTTGAATGAACTTTATTTATAAATGTTCTCTTCGATATTTACGTAAGGGACGAAAATGGCGCGACGTGTATCGTTCTCTCAGTTGTAGCACATGTTCAGTAGCGGAGTGACACATTACGCAGCTAAATAATTATTAAGCAGTTACCTAAGTGAAATAATTATTATTATTTAAAAAAATATATTGCCATGAACAAACAAAAAGCAAAAAAGAGGTAATTTCAAGATTGACGTGCGCGCAAAAACAAAGTATATATTTTCAATTTTTTTTTATTCTCAAAATATTCGTTTCATATTTATGTTTTATAATTTATTTTTATATATTATACTTTTTTTAAGAAATAAAGTGGGTCACTTGAAATTAGTAAATGGGTCACTCGGTGACCCGCGGGTCATAGGTTGCCGACCGTTGCACTAGAACGTAGTACTGTATTTACATATTAAAAGTTACTAAAATGATAATAACAATGACAAAAATATGGAACATAAGAAAAAAATACTAACCAACACAAAGGAAGTCACCACCATTTAGTGTTGGTGTGATTGCCTGGCATTCTTCTTTATTGGCTAAGCATAACAGTTCTACATTATATGATGAACTTTTCCATTTTGTTACAATTGAATACGGAGTATATTTAATATTTTCTTTGGTACACATGTGTATATACCATCATCAAAACGAACTATAGCATGTGTCTACAAGGTCATGATAATAAATCTGAAAATTAAAATAATTTTCGGATATTATGGGACAAGATATAATCAAGGTTTAATCTTTTAAGATGGAGGAATCTTTCCAGCATATGGAATGTAGAATTCCACCGAGTGCCCACTTCTAATATTAATTTTAAGGGAGTCTTTCCTAAGTTTTGTTGGTTTATCATTTGAAATATTAATTCTTGTAAAATTACTTACTATTTCTCGAACTTTCCCTTTCGTTATTTTTTATCTATCTTTGACTATTAAATTGAT